CCAACTTTCTCCCAAGTGCCCCCTCATGTCTGGAGATCGGTCTGCAGCACCCTGCCTCTGTTTTTCTAGGATTGCCAAGCATCTGGTTTTTGACTGGAATGCCTGGTTGAAAAGGGACCCTGGCAGCTCCGGTCAGCACCGTTTGTCCTGGCTCTGTGTGGCTCTCAGAAGTGGCCAGCATGTCCCTGTGGCCCCTAGGCGCAGGGGTGATCAGGGAAATTCCACGCATTGCCCCCGCCCCAAGTACCAGCTCCACAGCTTCTATTGGCCAGGAACTGTGGCCAATGGGAGTTGAATGGGCGACGCCCATGTGCACAGAGCTGCCTGGCTGCCCCTGTGCTTAGGAGCCGGGCATGCCGGCTGCTTCCAGGAGCCGTGTGGAGCCAGAGCAGGCAGGACGCCTGCCTTAACTCCACTGCACCGCCAACTGGGAGCTGCCTGAGGTAAGTGCAGCCTGGCTGGAGCCCGCTCCCCGAACTCCCTCCTGCACCCTGTCATAAATATAAAGGGAAGGGTAACAACCTTTATGTATGCAGTAATATAAAATCCCTCTTGGCCAGAGGTACAGAATTCCCTTACCTGTAAGGGGTTAATCAGTTCAATTAACCTAGTTGGCACCTGACCAGAAGGACCAATGGGGAAAGAAGATACTTTCAAATCGGGGGGGGGAAGGGGGGAGGAGGCTTTGTTTTTGTGCTCTGTGTGTGTTCTCTCCGAGACAAAGAAAGAGACCAAGCAAGTAATCCAGCTCCTACTGAAATGATACATATAATATTACAGAAATAGTAAGTAATAGCAAGAAATGTATTAGATTATCTTTTGTTTTAGCTTGTGAATTTTCCCTGTGCTAAGAGGGAGGTTTATCCCTGTTTTTTGTAACTTTGAAGTTTTGCCTACAGGGGAATCCTCTGTGTTTTAAGCCTTATTACCCTGTAAAATTACCTTCCACCCTGATTTTACAGAGGTGCTTCTTTTACTTTTTTTCTTTATAATAAAGTTCTGTTTTTTAATAATCTGATTGGTTTTTAGTGTCCTAAAAACCCAAGGGTCTGGTCTGTGTTCACCTGGTTTACCTATCTGGTTGGTAGATTATTCTCAAGCCTCCCCAGGAAAGGGGGTGAAGGGACTTGGGGGAATATTTGGGAGAAACAGGAACTCCAAGTGGTCCTTTTCCTGAATCTTTGTCTAACTCACTTGGTGGTGGCAGCAGTACTCATCCAAGGACAAGGAAGGATTTGTGCCTTGTGGAAGTTTTTAACCTAAGCTGGTAGAAATAAGCTTAGAGGGTCTTTCATATGGCTCCCCACATCTGTACCCTAGAGTTCAGAGTGGGCAGGGAACCCTGACACATCCCAAGCCCCAGCCCCAGGTCAGAACCCCCTCCCTCCCAGATCCTGCACCCCATCCCCATGCCCCAGCCCTGAGCCCCGTCCTGCACCCAAACTCCCTCCCAGAGCCCACACCCCACAACCCTTACCACACCCCAACCCCCTGCCCCAGCCCTGAGCCCCCTCTTCCACCCCAAGCCCCTCATCCCCTGCTCCACCCCAGAGTCCACACCCCTAGCCAGAGCCCGCACCTCCTCCTGCACCTCAATCCCAGCCCTGAGCCCCCTTCCACACCCAAATTCCCTCCCAGAGCCCACAACCCTTTCCACACCCCAACCCCCTGCCCCAGCCCTGAGCACCCTCTTCCCCTCAAACCCCTAATCCCCAGCCCCACCCCAGAGCCCGGACCCCCAGCCGGAGCCCTCATCCCCTCCCACATCCCAACTGCCTGCCCCAGCCCAGTGAAAGTGAGTGAGGGTGAGGGAAAGCGAGAGATGGAGGGAGGGGGGACAGAGTGAGTGGGGGCAGGACCTTGGAGAAGGGGCGGGGCAAGAGTGTTCGGTTTTGTGCAATTAGAAAGTTGTAAACCCAAGTTTTCCCCCTCTTGAGGGCCTTTAAGAACTCACTCATAACAACAATAGTTCAAACAGTCCTCTGTTGGGGTCCAAGGTATTGAGTCCTCTGGTGCATACATGCCCTCTAGGTCCCAAACTCAGTTTAGTCTCTCTCTCTCTCTCTCTGTGCTGTATGTTGTTTGGGGCTAATCAAACACACATTTTCCAGCCCATCTGACTATTACCATCTCTCCCAGGCCTACCTACCTGGAGAGCTTTCTCCCACTCACTCCCCCTCTTTCAGCTTTCCTCTGTTGACTCCGGGCCCTGCAGGGGCTGTCTTGCTCCCTGCAGTGTCTCCAAACATAGTGCAGTCTCCTGGGCTTCCCCCCTTTAACAGAAATTTCCTGCTCTTTTTATATGGGGAAATCACCCGATTCACCCAGGTGCGGCTGGTCCTGTAATCAGGGCCAGCTTAGCCTCAGTCTCTCCAGCTCTCAGGCAAACCATCCTGTTACACACTGGCTTCAGAACGTTTGCAGAATTAGGGGCTTAGACAAAAGTGGCGGCCAAAATATTTCTGTAGATGCTTGTGATACAGTCTGATTGTGATAATTCACATCCATTTACTGCATGACCTTCAAGGTAAAACATCACCCGGGCACTGCATGCACTGCTGTACCTGTGTGCTTCATTGCTACGGCAAATTTAATTCAAGCAGGATTAAAATAACTTCCTAGGCAGCTGCTGAAGTATTAGTCTGCTAAGAACTCCATCCATATAGAGACTGTGAAATTTAGCTCTCAATAAAGATCTTGTTTTTAAAAAGACTTATACAAAACCCTAAGATCAATGGAAACTTTGGAATGGCTTTTCACAATTCCAGCATCAAACAGATGTTTTTGAAAACAAATGAATATTTCCTCCTCCATTGTCTGCAATAGTAAGAGCCAGAAAATGCATCTGACCATAAACAAAAGTGACACGATTGTCTTAGCTGAGAGAAATGCAAACAAATGAACCCATGAAAAGCAAATGCAATGATCAAGATTCTCAGTTGGCTCAGTCTCCATGCTATTCTATTCTTTCTCCCACCATCATGATCACTGTAATGTCCGAGCACCTTTCAGCAGTGCATTAAGCAACGTGACTAACATAGAATGCCTTGCCAAGGAAGCACCCACACATACTCTTACTGTAGCAGTAGAACTGTAAATGCTAACTGCATCTAACACTGATGGAAAATGAGCAATGATAAATGGTGCTTAGTGGTCTTTTTAACGGGATCAGCCGCAGACAGATTGGGTTGATTCCCTGTCATTATAGTAATCCACTTTTAACCCTCCTCCCTGAGAAACGGTGAGACAATCCAGAGGATTCCACATTAGAGGCTCTTGTTGCTTTAGCGACATGGAAAGAGCAATGGGAGAACATTTTTATAGTAACAGTGTGAAACCCTGACACATTCTCCATCCCGTATCCCCCAAGCAGCACCATGATGCTTTGCCCTCCTGCCAGGTTCACAGAAAGCTCTCCAAGCGTTAGCACATTGGGTGGGGTTGGTGGCCAGTGATATACGGGAGGACAGACTAGATGATCTGGTGGTCCCTTCTGGCCTTAAAGTCTCTGACTCTATGATTAAAGAGTTAAGCTGCACCCACATCCATGAAGATTGTTATCATTATCCCAATTTTACAGATAGGGAAACTAAGGCACGGAGCTGGGTGCTGTAGAAAATCCTAGGAAAAACACATGGGCCATGGCAAAGCTGGGGACATATCCCAGATCTCCCAACTCCTAATCTTTCACAGCAAGAACACCCTTCATGTCAGCATCGGGTACCTAGACCTCTGGTTCCCATGCCCAAGGCAGTGTGAGGGAGCCTGAGTTGCATTCACAAGTGCCATCAATCGCAGGAATCTCCGTTGTGCCACCCATTGCTAATACACAGTTGCTACAGCCTGCCGCATTTGAATCTGGTATGATATGAACGGGTGATTGTGTACTACCTATACCCTAGGCCAGTGGTTCTCAACCTTTCCAGACGACTGTACTCCTTTCAGGAGTCTGATTGGTCTTGCGTAACCCCAAGTTTCACCTCACTTAAAAACTACTTGCTTATAAAATCAGACCTAAAAATACAAAAAAGCATCACAGTGCACTGTTACTAATGGCTGACTTTCTCATTTTTACCATATAATTATAAAATAAATAGATTGGAATATAAATATTGTACTTACATTTCAGTGTGTAGAGCAGTGTAAACAAGTCACTGTATGAAATTTTAGTTTGTACTGACTTTGCTAGTGCTTTTTATGTAGCTTGTTGTACAACTAGGCAAATCTCTAGATGAGTTGAGGTACCCCCTGGAAGACCTCTGTGTACCCCCAGAGGTATACGCAACCCTGGTTGAGAACCACTGCACTAGGCAACTGGACTGAGACCCAGCAAATTCATTTCACACAGGGCACACTGAGCTATTGACCGGTAAAGGCTTTCTGACACTACCAACCTGGACCAGAATTCAAGGCAAGGACCTAGGAGGGAACCCTCTGTTTCCAGATTTTCTGAGTTTGACTCTGTTGTATTCTCCACCACTGATCCAGTAAAACCCTGCCCTGCCCTGCACATGTATCCAGTGTCTGAGACAATAGAGGAGTTAAGGGGACTCCAAAAGCTGCTCCTGCCCCAACAAAAGTAATTGAGGTGCCTGTATTTTTGGAAAATGTTTCACATTTTCCTTTATGAAGCTGCATAAAGCGCTCAGCGAAGCAAAGAAGCCACATTTTTTGGCTGACACTGCAGCCTTTTGGACCTCAGCACTTGACTCTGACAAAGAGCCGGAGAGCGGGTTTGGTCGTTGTGACTTCTTTTCTTCTTTAAAAAAAATAAATTGATTCTGAGGCTTAAGTTATTTCCATAGAAACTGGTGCAGCAAATAAAAAAAAAAAGATGGTGATGTGGAGGGGAGCTGGAGAGGCTCTTCAGTAAAACCAAGTCTGGAGAAACGTTGCCCTGACAAATGCTAATTTTTGTGGTGATGTTTCTCATAGCTGGAATCTATATAAAACCACCACACACGACCCATTTATCGGTTCCCACCATGTAGTACACTCACCTTTGCAACTCCTGTAAATGAATCTATAAACCCATTTCCCGGAGGCAGGCACACACGTACTGGATCCTAAAAGCCGCCCCCTGGAAAATACAAAATCTCAGCAGTTACTAGCAGTGGTGCAATTTAAAGTTCAATATTGCAATCACTGCTGCATTGTGATGTCACAGAGAAGGCATTTGTGGTGCAGATAATCATTGCAAACTCCTCCAGGAGCAGACAGCAAAGAGACTGACGAAATTCGGGAAGGATATGTTATCCAGAAGCCACTCTTTCTGTTGGAAGTTATAGCAATATTGCATTTCTACCCCTTTCCAACAGAGGTACTTTAGAAACAATCCTAAAACACCCTGTTTGAAAAGGAAGCATCACTTACAGATGGGTAAACTGAGGCACACAGAGGTTAACAGGCACACACTGAATCAGTGGCAGATTCGGGAGGGAGGCAGAGAGCAGCTATAAGGAAAAATACCAACCTTTTCTCCAGTAGCACTGGGAAGAAATCTAGGGAAAGCAGCAGTGAGCAGGACACAGGCAGCAACATGAAAGAAAAATGAAGTTAGCGAGACCCCAGCATGTCCTGAAAACTCTTCCCCAGGAGACAGAATTCCTCAGCTGCTCTCTCTGGTGTTGGTCTAAGCTGATCGAATGCCCAATATGGCTCTCCGTCTCCTTCCAAGCCCCTCCTCACAGGTATGCATCTCTATGGCAACCCTTTCAGGCACCTCCCACTGGATGGTACATCACTCTCAAACAGGCCGGCGGTAGGATGCGAGATGCACCCGGCAAAGGCTCTGCAATAGCAGGACCAATAAGATTTGCTCCAATGTGTGTCGGGTAGTGAACTGCCCATCATCGTGTCTACCCTGGAGGCTGGTTGGGTAAGACTTAGTAGTATTTGGGTTTGCTATGGTGGGCAAAGGGAGACAGCTAACAGGTTACATAGCATTAATACTTCACTTTCAGAGGCTGAATGCAACATCTCACTAGCCCATTTGATTCACTGGAAAATACCCTCTTATATGGGGATTGAAGGTGGAACCCATTCACTTTCAGAAGAGATCGGAGGAGAGTATCAACAGCTTGATTGCGAGCCACAGAAGGGGGAGCCAGTGGAAGGACTAAAAGAGGGGGTGACATGGTCAAAGTGATGGACTAGGAAAATGACCTCTCCTGTATTCTTTGTTTTGTGCACTGTGGGTGAAATTCACCCATGTAAGTCCTATTTTGAGGGCTGATGTGGTGCATATACCTTATATTGGTGCTCTGCGCAAAAGCGGGTTTCCTCCAGAATGTGAAGTGCATGGCAGGCTCTGCCCTCTCTTCCCTAACAGGTTTTGAAAGCAGGCGGGAGTAAAGATGATCTTACCAAGCTACACATTGTCCTGAAAGAAACCAGATGAAAAAGTTTGTGTTCTAGGAGGCAGTTCTCACATGCCCCCGCAGAACGCAGCTCCTGAGATGTGATTTACTGTCTTCTCGTACAGCTGGAGGCAGAGGGCAAGGCATTCAATGTCTAAAAGCCCCATGACCACGCAGACTTCCTCAGAGGCAAATTTGTTCTCTCCTCCTCCAGTTCTACCACCCTCCTTGCCAAAGAGCACTATTTCTCCAGCATTATTGACTCCCATGACCACACTCCCAGCCGGTTATTTTCTATCTTTGAATCTCTCCATAAGCCCAACCGCATGGAGGGGGTAGATATGCCCCCTTCTAACTTTTGCCAGGCTCTGTTACTCATATAAAATGCCGTATCTTGGGTCCCTGTGGAGAAGAGACACTCCCGGAGTGCTACCACCTACTCAGTACTTTAATCAATGAAACCTTTTTTGCTTTCAACATAAGCTCAGCTGTATGGGGGAAAAGCTTTAATTTGTTTTGTTCAGCTTTCCCGTATTGCTATCTCCTATCCATTTATCTTAATTTTATACTACTGCCCATCACCATGGTATCTGGGTACCTTCCATGTGAAGCCAATAGCAATAGCGAAGCCTGTGGTACTTCTCTTTTTGATTTTTTAGATTAAATTAATTTCCTTAATTTAATTTATTCATTTAGGGTTGGCTGGGGGGACTTCATTGTGCGCACTCTCAGTTCTGTGGACGCTGGGGATTTCTTTTGGCTCACTCTTTGGCAAATGAAGATGGATGGTACCATGAATACGTTATTCTAATAACGCATTAGCCATATGGGACAAGGAATGGCAGATACGGTATGCAGCGGGCATACCCATCTGAATCTGGCACTGGAACAGCGGAGGAGGCAAATCTGTGATAGAGACAGCAGCACGTTGGACAAGTGCAATGGAGTTCAGCTTGCTGGTACGAGGAAGCAGGGTGGGTGTGCACCGCTCTACACATCATGGGAGCCCTCTACCCCCTGGGGCAATGGAAGCTTCAGCTCTAATTCACAATGCTGCTGAAGTGGTGAAATTTCTGGGCACGGTTTGCAGTCAGCTGAAGTTATCCATGTACCTGTCTGTGCAGTACAAAAACAAGCCTCAGAGGCTCTATGAAGCAGAAGTCCCTGAATTGTCTGACTCCTTTGTGTGTATGCAAGGAAAGATTGACCCTTTATTGATAAGGTCTCCATATAAACTGACTGGGAACACAGATCAGCTCACGATCCTAGCCTCCATCACCCACTTGTTACATTTTCAAACAAGCTCCCCCCCTTGTGCTTTCTCCCACACTGACCCTCCCGTTTGGGAGGAGCTCCTCCTAAACATCGGGAAAGCTACCTCTACATTCACCTCCAAATTGTGTCTTAAAACTCTTCTTTGCTGTGTTGCCTACATCAAACGTGACATGTAGATGGCTTGCGTGCACTCTCTATTGTGCTGACCAATATTTTCTCATCGTTTTCTTGTACCCCCCCCCCAGCGTGTGTCCATTTGTTGTATTTGGTCTTATACTTTGTAATCTCTTTGGGGCATGAACTGCCCTTTTATACTGAGTACAATGGGGTCTCAGGACATGACTGGGGCTCCCAGACTGTACAATACAAATAATAAATACTAACAAGGGAGTGTATCCAAAAACGTGATTCACACCGTGCTACTTTTGGAAATGTCTAGCTAGGATTTCAAAGTATGCATGTAATACTATTTATGGAACTGGTTTGCACAGGTATTTTCTATTAGTACTATACCAATAGAACCCATTTACATACCAGCTGTGCTGAATTTGATACTGTAATGTCCATTTAAAAAAAATAAAACATGCAGTCAATACTATATACACCAAAGTCATAGGCCTTTACCGAGCAACGTTAGTCATCTTTACTCGAGACTTCTGAAACCCTTCTTGCTGGCCAGTTGCCTCCTGGCAAACAAGCAGTTAAACAAGTCTACATACACCCATCCACATTGGCCTGCATAGTGCAAAGCAGGGCTCAGACACCCATTCAAATGTCCAACTCTATAAAATTCCTGTGGGGCCACAGAAATGCTAGAAGAAAAGGAGTACTTGTGGCACCTTAGAGACTAACCAATTTATTTGAGCATGAGAGCTTTCGTGAGCTACAGCTCACTTCATCAGATGAAGTGAGCTGTAGCTCACGAAAGCTCTCATGCTCAAATAAATTGGTTAGTCTCTAAGGTGCCACAAGTACTCCTTTTCTTTTTGCAAATACAGACTAACACGGCTGTTCCTCTGAAATCTGTCAGAAATGCTAGAGTGTACACACCCGGGATTTTTGCAACTCCAGGCAATTAGCAGTCACTGCCTTTGTGAAGACGACATACCGGTTTGTTTTGTTTTTTTGTTTTAATTCTAAGAATGGACCATTTAGACGAGTATTAGGCATATTACAAGAACCGGGCAGAGGTTAAAATGTAGAACTGTTTTTCTTACTGCAGGGTGTTATGGGATGGATACAAAGTCAATGGGAATCTTTCCATTGACTTCAATGGATTTGCATCAGACATTTAGACCCAGGCATAGAAAACTGGCAGTCATTTTGCTGCTCTTCTGCGATGTTTGTTTGCAGTTTTGATTAGCTCCTAACCCCCCCACCTTGCCTCTCAGCGCAACATCTCAGTCATTTTTTCAAAGCCAAAATTCACTGAAGACCACCGTGCCGCCTCGTCCAGTCATCAGAGATTTCTCATCTCTCTACCTCCAAGCCACCCACTCATGATTACTAACCATCCTTAGAGTCCGTATTCCAAAAGGGGAGGGGGAAATAAGGCACAGAAGAGCTTTTAATTTAATTTAATTTATTATTTTGTAAATGTGAATTTTACAATTAATGATCACATCTGGTTCTTTTTAATGGATTTCTCATCATATGAAAACAGCTATGAGCACACTCCGAACTCTTGGGGTTTATTTATTTTTTTAGTTACTGATATATTGTGTCAGCCATGGCTACAAAATAACAGTCTTAACTATACGGAGTAACAGCACATAAATACTAGTGAATAATGCACAATTTAAAAAAGCTAGCATCTTTCGTGGCTGAGACAGTTGAGAAATGTAACTCAGTGATACTGTGAAATTTTTCTTACAGAACAGAAAGTTGTTTTTTTTAAACAGTCATGAATTACAGTACGACTTAATACCCTATACAGACTCTTTAAAAACAACCTGGTACTTTAAGTCTTTTTTCCAAACATTCTGTCCAAAGGATTAATGTTCTATTTGAATCAAGTGCCATCCACATGTTCAAGTCAAAAATATTTATACATTTATACTTCGGTTTTTTTTTGTTTTGTTTTTTGTCTGCTAAAAATAGTATTGCAAGTTTTGGCTTTTATTTTGACATAAAAATCACAATCGTGTGCAAAATGCTTAGAATGGAAGAAACTGATCAGAACACTTGAAGGTTTTCCAATTTGAGTGCTTTAGACTTCAACATTTTTCTTTATATTTACTTTTTTTTTTTTAAACCCTCATTTTTATAACCATATCATAGCAAGCCATGAATACCTTGGGCATGGTAATAATCATGTCTGGAGCTTGCTTGTTGACATAATGACGAATTTATACAGCAGAAACACTTTGAAACAGTAGTTGAAGCCCAAGACAGCTATGAACTCTCAATTTTCTGTTTAGAATTTACTGCCAGGAGAAGCAAACAGGGGTTGTCTATAAGTTTTCAGTTGGTTAATGGGCCATACACCCTTCTCCACTTGCAGCAAGATATTTCCATAAAAATAAGCAATCTGAACAAAACCTTAGCAGTAAAATGACTGAGGAAATGCATCCGTCCTCTCCAGGATACCATGTCTAGAATGCTATGGTACTTTAAACATGTGTTAAATAGGGAACAATTCCAGTTTTGTGTCGCTGTTCAAAAAAAGACTGTAATAAGATGAGCTTAATTCTTTGCTTCTCTTTCCATATTAAAGCGCTGCACTATGCAAGAGAATGAATAAGAGGAAAGAGAAAGATTAAAGTGTATGCAATTGGGCGTGAATCCATTGGGAATTTACACAGCAATAATTCTAGCCCCCTTAGGAGAGTCTTCAGTAAGAACAGACTGCAAAAAGGTTACACTCACTAAGGAAGTATCAAAGCAAACAGTCTACAACACAGGGCAAAGTGGGCCCATGTTTTGCTTTTGGAGAATCGAAGGTGAATTTCTTCATGAGTTTTCCCTAGTCTCCCCCTCTCCAGTCGGTGAAAGCAGC